ATTTCGTTTATTTTCGATCTTGTCTCCGGCAAGATTGATTGCCCTTGGCTTCTTCAGCGAATAAATTTTAATGTCCCTTGCAGAAATTTCCGCAATTCTGATGTCTTTCGCGTTGGGCTTAACAGAACAGTCTACGGTGCAAATGCTCCGATAAATAGAACTCTTTCTGAACTTAACTTCTTCTCAAATTTTTTGGATCTAGATCTATCTAATACTAAATCTGTACTACAATTAAAATTAAACAATTATTTTTTAACTAAGTAATTATTAAATTTGATGATAAACATCTTAGTACCTAAGTCTCAAGTGTCTGTTGTATAAATTAGGCATAAATAAAAAATAAAAAATAAAAAAATAAAATAAAAAATAATGTAACTAAATATACCTTTTACGCGTAAAGCATGGCCTCTCCGACCACTGTGAAGTCTCATAGCAACATATTTTTATTTACTTGCACTCCGCTAATACGTATACATTAGGGCTCGTAAAATTATCCGACTATTCGACTAATCGGTTAACCGATTATATATATATTATATTAATATATTATATTATTATATTAATTATTATTATTATTGCTCCATTAGGAGGTTTGTGGGATGATAATTCTGTGTGTGCTCCCCGATTGCTTGTTTAGGAGGTAAAAGGGATTACTACCCCTCCTAGGACATCCAATGTTAAAGGGAGTATACAAAATTACATGCTTATACACAGAAGCATAGGGAGCAATGGGGAGTATTCGTATACTCCCAAGGGAGTACTCACCGAGCAATCGTACGATGCTCCCAAGTTCTACTGGGCAAATACATATACACATATGTATGTACCCAGCAAACCATTTTTTCAGAGTATTCTGAATTGTAGAGAAATTTTAAGGAATTCGTAAAGATCTCATCCGATTTTTTGCCGAATTTTCTAAAATGAAATAATTTGTGCACACTTCGATTCTTTTGCGAAATTTCGGAAGAAAATCGGTAAAGAAATGAACATATTGCTGCTATATGAAGAATTTCTTGCAGAAGCTTTTCAGAATTTTCTTTATTTTTCGCACAGAAATTTCTATACGAGTTCGTGTCAACCACTTCATATAATTTTCTTTGAATATTCGTAAACAAATTGTTACAGAAATGAGATACTCCTAAAGATTTCGTTAAGATTTCGGGAACTTTGGTTTGCAGGGTAGATATTTCTGGATAACCTTAAGATCTGTTTAAAGTAGTTCTGCCTAATTTTCTAGCTAAACCATGCTTAAGTGCCCAGTTTCGCGTGGTAAAACTCAGTTCAGTTAAGCGCGGCAGCGAACTCACACTGGGAACTCGGTTCTAAAATCCAAAATTTTCATACATATTCAATCATTAACTTGAACAATTTAATCTGTTTATTTAAATATTTTTCAGTCCTAATCTTTGCTTTTCTTTTAAGGCGTACTACTGTATTCAATATTGGCGGAACCTCGATTGCAACGCTGTCGAATTTTGTTAGTCCTTGCAAAGATGGATTATGCCTATCGTCAGATGCGTAACGAAGCGTTGCTTATGCTGCAAATATCGGTAGGATTAATACGATTTT